TCAATGGTCCTTATTATACTAATCCAACTGAACTGGTGGGCTGGAATGGGATCGTATGGAAAGATTGGAAAGGAAATGGATATAGTCTCAAGTTTACTGAGATGAAAACTCGTAGAAACAATTAAACATAAATAATGTGTGTGTGACAGGATTGTGTAGAGTCAGTTATTAGTTAGTGTATTTAGATTATTTTGTTACTTTTATAGTGAAGTTATTTCCTAGTAATGTCAAACCTCATCAGTGATTAATATCATAATACAACTTATAAATCATTTTAATAGCAATAAAGTGAGTGGTAAATAACCTGTCCATGATAATGGTTCAATAACAAAAGAAGAAACAAATTTATTTTACTTCTAAAATAATATATTTTATTTAAAATAACTTATTTCAACAAAACGTTACTTGGAGTAAACATGTTTTTCACTTTGAAAAGTAAAAGAATAATAATAAATGCTGACTAATATTAATTTAAAAACTTAAACAATCATTTTAAATAGAAATGCTAATGAAAATAAGCTTCAAATATTATTTTTACTACAATCCAAACATTATGGTTTATTCCTAACACAACAATACTCCAACAAACAGAGTCACTGACTCACTCATTATAAAGGAGGAAGATCTCTCTTTACTTTAAGATTTATTCCTTTTACCAGTATATAGATTAGAGTGACTCCTACTCAAGATGATGTTAGCTGGTAAACTGATGTACAGTTTAATGATAATAATTGTTATTATTAATACTGTCAATGGAAACTGTCCTGATGATGAGAAGAAGGCAACTGCTCCAGTTGTTACCATCACTAACACTAGTGTTAATGCTATACCAGGTACTGTAACGGAATGAAATAATATTGACACTATTAATGAACACTTGTTTATTATTTATAGAATGTGTAATGCCAACTGATTGTAAAGCATGGAAAGAACTGGGAATTAAACAAAATGGAGTATATCCTATAAAACCAGATAATGGACCAGCTTTCCAAGTAATGTTTAATTGTATTATACTTTATAATTATACACTATTGGATCACAGGTATACTGTGATATGGAGACTGATGGTGGTGGATGGACTGTATTTCAGAGGAGACAAGATGGATCTGTTGATTTCTATAGGAACTGGACTGACTATGAGAATGGATTTGGTGACCTTACTGGTGAGTTTTGGTTAGGATTGAGCAAGATTCATCGTCTTACTAAAGAAGGATCAAACACACTAAGAGTGGACCTGGGAGACTTTGAGGGGAACACAGCTTATGCTAACTACTCTACATTCAGTGTTAGTGATGGTAGTACTGAATATATACTAACAGTAGGAGGATACTCTGGTACTGCTGGGGATGGCCTTATAGAGTCTAATCTTGGTCATCCTGCAGTTCACAATGGAAT